AAAATGCATTTAATGTGTGATCTAGAATATCTAATTATTTGAGTATCATAGTTGATGAAGAATTTTAAGACTTGAGATTATTTGAGATTTATGGAATAAATGTGATGTGTCAATGACGTGTAATCGAAAAATCGTTTATTTTAAGATCATGAATGGAGATGCTCTTAAAACGGTGATGTGTAATGTAACACGGAGTAGAAGATAAAGATGTTCAAAAGTAGGACTAAATTGTAAATAGATGAAATTAATACGGAGGGGAAAAGAAAGATGTTAATGAGGGTGATCATGCCTCATTAAATGACATGTCACCATTTTATTTGTCCACATATAAGATGTACCAAAACATCACACAACCCGCATGCACCATTGAGCTTCCCTCTTTTGTTTTGTTGACACCGAAACTCGAGTTTTTTCCCAGAATAATGCGAATTAAATAAATAATTCCCGAAATATTGTCGGTTCAAAAATAATTCCCGAAATACTGCTGGGGTTAACCATGGTTAAGCAAAGCCACTACTCCAAGTGGCGGCTCTTCATCGTGCTATACAAAAGATGCCACTTGAAGTGGCGGTTCTTCTATATGTATACAAAAGCCGCCACTTGAAGTGGCGGCTCATTTGCGAATAAAATTACGCCTTCTCCTTCACGAACGCAGAACGACAGAACAAGGAGCTTTGTTGTTGTTGCTGCTGCGCGATTTCAGTCCGATTTCCGACCGGCCAACGTCCTAAAGAAGCTCAAATCAAAGGGAAAAAACACATTGTGTACTTGAAGTCGTTTGTGCTCAATTGTATCCACTTTCAACCGTTTTATTCGAGGTATTTCACCATTTTTCCTAAAGCTAGGGTTTTTTCAATTTTAGTTTGAAATTGCTTGTTTTTTTGGATTATTTTATTTGTATTTGATGTTATGAAATACTCCGTATATAAGTTGTCAATGTTGTTATTATGCTTGCATTTATTTAATTTGTGGAATTTGAATTTTTTTTGTGTTGGTTGGATTGAGTTTAATAGATGTATCGTTTGAGTAGATGGTGGTCCTCTTGATGATGCTATGGTCATGTGAGCACATTCATATCGGCAGACCTGTCATACTGCGATATCATGGAGTAGATGGTGGTCCTCTTGATGATGCTATGGATCAGCACGACGCATCTGTACTTGGGCCACATCATGTCAGTGGCGAGGACCCTTTGGGTCATAGGTACGTTTATGATTTTTCTTTTTGAAATTTATGCATGACGTACGTGAATCCCTTTTATATTCTTATGCATTACTGTGTGTCAGATGGCTATTTGCTCACGTCACACGCACCTCATCTGCCGCTGGATTAGGGTACTACCGAGATGCTTTAAATTGCATGTGTGATGATCAGGTATATCTTGTATATCATTAGATGTAAGTACTTTGTTTTATGTTTTTTAAACTATGATGTAACACTGTTTTGTTCTATAGATGACGTGGATGCCGTACACTCATGATATTCTTGGACTGTTGCCTCCTGTTGGCCGAGAGCACACTGAGATATGGCAAGCATGTGTGCCCTTGATATGTTTTGATGTAGTGGAGCATCACTTTCCTGATCGCGTACTACGACAGTTCGGGTTGCAGCAGGTTATTCCTGAACCTTGTGATACATCTGTGGACTTACACAAGATTGACAGACGAGGGAAGCACACTGAAGATTGGAGGATGCGTCATATTCAGTATATCACTATGTGGGATGAGAGAGCGGCGTATATAGTGCACGGGACCCCATCCTTAGTCCCTACAGCCTCTGCAGATTACATGAGATGGTATTACACCATCACACGGGTGTTCATCTCTCCCAGTTTTTGTCTACCCACTCATCATTACCAGCCTAGCTCGGTCGCTCTTCATATGACGGTAAACAATAGTCACTAAAATAACTTTATTTATTTATTCATATGTTTTTCACTAATAACCATGTTTGTATTACAGGCACGGGCTTTGCGTAGCATCCATGACAGAGTGACTGTTGTATTTGATGAGGCAGTAGATGTACAGGGATACCATGAGGCTTGTTCGGGCATTGTTGCACTGTGCGCTGATGTATTGGGCCGAGTAGATTATGGATATATGCCGACTCTCAGTATTCCACCGCATCCACATCCACAACAGGGTCTTCTCAGGCAGTCCGACGTGATAGAGTGTTCTTCAGCCTCGTAACCAGCGCAGGCGCCCCCGAGCACAGCCACAGCTACACGAACTTCATGATGATGATCACGTTGACTTATGATCTTTGTATTTGTATTATTGTGTGAGAGTTGTAACATGCACTGGCAAATCGAATTATTTTGTGAAACACCGGATTTATTATAACTTTTATGTCTTATTTCAAGTGTCGTGATGCAATGAGTTTCATTGATTCGTTTTGTGTTTCAGATGTATTTTGTCTTAGTAAATCATATGTTTGGTTGTTTGTTTGAGTAGAATGGACTGTGATAAGCAGATTTTATGGTAACTACAGGTTCATTTGTGTAATTAATAGTTCTGCAGCTTGCTTGACACAAGAGCCGCCACTTGAAGTGGTGGCTTTTGTATACGTATAGAAGAACCGCCACTTCAAGTGGCGGCTTTTGTATAGCACGATGAAGAGCCGCCACTTGGAGTGGCGGCTTTGCTTAACCATAGTTAACCCCAAAAGTATTTCGGGAATTATTTTTGAACCGGCAGTATTTCGGGAATTATTTATTTAATTAGCATTATTCCGGGGGAAACTCCCGAAACTCTGTGATTGAGTCATTGAACTGGAGTCTATTGATTTTTGAACTAATAAAATAAATATTATCTGAAGATAATTAAAATAGTTCTCTAAAACGAATTTCAAGAAATAATTTTCGATATCAACGAGTTCTTTCACCATTTTCAATCAATTTAGTCATCAAATAATTCAAATATTACGAAGTATTTATTTTGATTATTAGACAAACGTATGGTGTAAAAAATTATTTACTACTTACGTTCTTAAATAGTTGCAACATTAGAAGTTTTAAACTATTCACATTTTTTACTTGGATTGCATTTTATTTATGATGCATTAAAAATCTTTTTTTAAATATAATTAAATTCTTCTCATTTTAAATTTTCGAGAAACGAGGTTTTGAAATTTTTACAAACTGAAAATTAAATATATTAATAGTCAATGTTGTACATTGACAAACGTGAAAATTAGAGTCTTGCAATTAAAAAAGAACGGAGAAAGTATTTGATAAAAGTTTAATTGAAAATACTATAAAATTGAAAATGTGAGTTGCCAAATTTTCACATTTTCAAAAGGAAAGTATTTTTAGGACAAAATATAACAAAAGATCAAATAGTACACCAAAAAAATCTCTCTCTTACTTGATTTGGGTTAAACAGTGTGTTTGGGAGTTTGGAAGAAAGGGGATGGGAAGATTTTGAAGGTATGTTGTTAGAGGAGAAATGGAGGGGGGATTAATGAAACCATTCTTCGTTTTTGGGAGTAATAAAATTGGAAGGAGAGAGTATTTGTAGAATTTATAATTAAAATCAAATTGGAATCATTGAGTTGTTATTCATTTTCAATTTAGCTTAAATTATCATCTTGTTAATTATCCTCCAAAAACATATAGATCAAATATCATTTATCCAGTTCAAACCAGACTACCAAATCTCATTCCAATTAAAAACATCCTAATTCCATTTTTTGTTCTTTTTGGCTTTTGTTAATTCAATTTCAATCAGTTTGTCAACAATATTTTGGTTTGTTATTGTTTTGTCCAGTCCTACTTCAGAAGTATATCATTCGCAGTTTTGCACTTCCCAAACATGTATTAATCGGATCTGGAGCCTCAGCAGGGTGCTTTTGTTTTTAATTATTCACCTGGTTACCTTTTTTTTTCTTATTACTTCCTACCCCATCCCCCACTCCAAGCCCGTCCAAAACACCCAGCCCAACTCATTTACCTTTTTCAAATTTTGAAAAACAAAAAAAAATTGGCCCGAACTGGGCCCGGTCCGGCCAGTCTGATTCATGTTTTTGATGACTCGGAGCCCGTCCCAAAACAGTATCGGGCCGGGTGGCCCGACCCGGGTACGAACCTGGGTACCGAGCCTGGGGCGGACCAGGTCGAAACAGTGCAGGGCCGGGCCCGAGTCCATCCCTACGTCGGATGCCGCAAGGCACTTTGCCTTATGGCTGGCAGAGGATCCTGATCATTATTAATCACTCAACAAGCAAAAATGGTGTGAATAACTAATGTTATAGATTATTATCCTTTCGATTTATTTATTGAGATATTGGCAACTATACTTGTGTATTGTGAGCTAAACCAAAGAATTGACAAAAACTAGATATTCATCCTTTACTTTTCAAGATGTACACAAAAAAAAACTTAGGGAGCTAGGGGTCTAAATTGCTTCTCCAACAACTGAGAGTTTTGACTCCTTTCCCCCATTTTTTTGGCAAATCCCCCAGTACAATGAAGCTACATGAGAACTTTGTTGTTTTATTTTTTAATAAAAGGAAAAGGGTCAAATAGACCCTTGAACTTATATAAAAAGATCAAATAAGCCCTTATATGAGATACTCTGTCCTATCATCGCCGTTTGGGGCAGTTCAAGGTGGATTTTTTGATGAAATTTATTGAGCATCTTATTCATTAAGTCTAGTTTACTCATACCAAATTTCAGCTAACAATTCAATCAGAAAGGATGTCTTCAAGAATTCATTTGGATGTCTTCCTGATTGAAGTTTTAGTTGAAATTTGATGAGTAAACTAGACTTAATGGATAAGATGCTAAAAAAAATCATCAAAAAATTCCACCGAGAACCGCCCCAAATGATGACGGCCGGACAGAGCCTCCTATATAAGGATTTATTTGACATTTTTATGTAAGTTCGAAGACCTATCTGACCCTTTTCCCTTTAATAAATGAAATACTATTGATGTTTACCACAAAACCATAACAATAGGAGCAAATAGTTGAGGATGGGGGTATGTCACTATGCTGTACTGGATTCATCCAATATAATTTTGCTCAAAAAATAAAGAGTATAAGTATAGGCAAACTCACTCAGTTCAATTATTCAGGTAGATATGACAAGGTCCAAAAATAAACTCAAACATGGCAATCACTCGTAATAGAAGCAAGGTAAATTGATAGTGCATTGCACAAGCATCGGAGAAGAATATTGTAATTGCTTGGTCAAATGACATAAATTAAGCATAGGCAAATGCCAAATAGATTGAGGGTATGCATAGTAAGCATTTAACCACAAGTGCCATGTTATCCAAAATAATTTTAAACTATATTCTTTTTACTGCAAACCCTTGCATGCTAACATAAGCTCAATATCTAAAGGAAAAAGCCGCCCCTCAGTGCAAGGACAAGATGAAGAACTGAACCACCCTCTATGTTGTAATCCTTTGCTGTCTTGTCATCTGCAAGCTGCTTGCCAGCATATATGAGCCTGCAAGATAGGATCCATGCGACCAACTCATTGTCAATGTTTATTCCGAAAATCATGCCCATAACAAATTGTTGGATAAATGCCCAACTGGATTGAGTTGTTAAATGATCTGATTGCATACAAAACAGCATAAAACAAACCTTTGTTGCACAGGAGGGATGCCCTCTTTCTCTTCGACACGCTCCTTGATCCGTTCAATGGTGTCATTAGGTTCAATGTCAATCTCAATCTCCTTTCCAGTGAGAGTCTTCACCTTGATCATGGTCCCTCCTCTAAGCCTCAAAACCAGGTGAAGTGTTGATTCTTTCTGGATGTTGTAATCAGCCAGAGTCCTGCCATCTTCCAACTGCTTGCCAGCAAATATTAGTCTTTGCTGATCAGGAGGGATGCCTTCTTTGTCCTGGGGCAGTAAAACACACACATAATCCATGTAAGTGATCACATGAAGGCATAACAGCCATTGGAATTTCATTTTGAATCAAAATAACAAAAACACTAATTGACACTTCGTACTTTTATTTAGAAACAAAACCAAAAGATGTAAATATAACTAAATAGTCACGGATAGCATCATCAGAGTCACTGCACTGGTCAAATATAGTGGCTGCGCATTGTATATAGAGGTCATATTTTCGTCCATGATTTTTATTTCAATAATATACAGAGTATTTGTCATTATCAATAAAAAAGGTTCAGCCTTTCCACTACAACTTTAGTGCATAAACTAAATTGCGGGACATTACTCACTAGGTATTTCTTAGTACTTGCTTGGACACAGTGGCGGACCCACTAAGGGTCCCAGGAGGTCCCGGGACCCCATGGACCTCCAAAAAAATACCTATTTATATATATTTGTATATATTTTATATATAATTAAGGAATAAGTATTTATACAATCAAAACTAGCATAGAACACAAATACGGAGCTAGAGCAATGGTAGGAGGCCCAATTCCAAGGCTTTGTACGTGCAGAGGTCGAACGATCGATTCCCCCAGGCGTCCACTTTTTGGAAAATAAAATTATGGCCAATTTTTGTACGTGCGTACCTATTGTTATCCTATTGCCCAATTTTTTTCATAACAAATACTACTACAAAGCCAATATGTATCCCCGAATTTCAACTTATCTGTTTTATAAACTAATTTGGTCATGAAACACGTAATTCTTGAATTCACACACTAAATTTGTAATAATTAAAATAAGCAAGTTAAAAACATTTTTTCGGCGAGATGACTGAAGTTACCGTAAGAGCATCATCTTGGCCGCTTTTTCATATGACTTTTTCATATCTTATAACATATAATTTAAATATCATTCTTTCCTAATATAGCAGATTCAGTCGCTTGAGCCATAATCGCATAATTTGGCTTGATGTGGTTTGATCTAAGACTAAAATCGGTCCAATAACAAATTAAAGTCCTTAAAGTTAAACAAATAAATTGGTAATTGTATTAAATTAAAATAGAAACAAAGCTAATGAATATATTTTAAATAAAAAACCAAATAAAATATTGCGAAGTAATTGGATCAAAATTTTCAAATGTAGGCTTTTTAAATTTGATTTCTCATATGCATGCCCATTATTTTTAGTTGATAGAGGACATCAACTTTATAAAATTTCAGTGTCCGTTTAGTGACTATGTTTTTCAGCTTATCAACCAACTTTTTAACCAAACATGTAACTTTTGATTTTGTGTGCTAAATTATGTAATAATAAGAAAAATAAGGTTGAATTTACTTTTCAGGCTGTATTGACTGAAGTTGTTGTAGTTGACCATTTTATCTATTTTTCATATCATTTCTTCTTTATTTTATTAATATAATATATTTTAAATATAATTTTTCATAATCAGCAGAAACAGCCAATACAGCCACTTCGGTCAGAACTTCATAAATTTCAGTAGAATCAGCCGATTCAGCCGATTTCAGTGTTACCAAACGGGCTCTAGTTGATAGTAGACATTTCTTTAAAATTTTGGAATATCTTTAAAACTGGTGTATACGCTAACTATGAAAGATTATGCTATTTTAATATTTTACTTCTTTTTATTAATTAGAGTTACATTACAGTAGGGACCCCGTGATTCTGAGTTTCTGGGTCCGCCAATGCTTGGACACTTCTGTCCAAGATGAGTCCGATTAAAATGGAGTCCAAATACTGTGTTGTTAGAGAGACTACCACGGCATCATAAAACTATGCAAAAATCCAACTGAGAGGTCAGGGGACTAAGGGCCCCTAGCAGATCTGAAGGGGAGGGAAAAACCACAAGACCAAACTGGCCATGCTTATTTCTAGAAATAGGAACTTTAATATGCAAAAACAATGACAGTAAGTAAATATCAAATTTGAAACTTTGTATGAAGAAAAAGAGCAGGAGTTCACACCTGAATCTTGGCCTTGACATTGTCAATGGTGTCACTACTCTCAACTTCAAGAGTGATTGTCTTTCCGGTCAAGGTTTTCACAAAGATCTGCATTTTTTATGGCTACAACCACAAGGGAACATCAATCAGACAAGAAGATAAATCCGGAGTAATCAATATAAATCAAGACAACTACCAATTTCTATTTGCAACAACACTGTAACGTATATCAATTCACTCTTCAAGATGAGTAAAAAGTTGCAATGTATCCATAGTTGTTAAGAGTTAAATTTGCGCAGGGCTTGTACCCTTTAACATGACATAGAAGCAATGTCAAAACCTTGTATTTTCATATCAATATCTCAAACACACAGAAAAACATTACACATGAGGAACAAAGCAGGGCTGATTTACAGTTTTATAAGGAGTAAATTTTTCAAAAGAATGGGACGATGTTCCAGGTTCAGAATCAATTACAAACTCTTAGCCGTTCTCTACGGGTCCATTAAAAGAACCTTTTCAATCTTAAAATACAAGCTGAGTGAAAAAACCGGCATCTACATTAAAAAAAAGGAATCTAGGTTACTTTGACACAACGCGAAAAAAGAAAGAACGCAGAGCAAAGGTGGACAACAAATTTCACAGGCCAAATCAGATTTTACGAACAAGGGGAACATCTAGTCAACAAATAAACAGGTGGGGAAAAGATCAAAGCTTTAATCGGACAAAGAATGGGGGAAAGAAAATCTCGGAATAAATTTCAGTGAAATAGGAAGTACCGAGAAGAAGATGGTCGGGAACGAAGCTGGTTGCTGGGCGAAGAGAGGTCGCAGGGGATGACTAATTTGCTGCTGCTTTCCTTTTGTGATGACGATGATGTTACAAACGACAATTATTTATGTGGAGTTTGTGGTGTAGGGGTTAAGGTTGTGTATTCTTGAGAGTTAGGGTTTATATAGATAGCTTAACCGACGTTAATTGCATATTATTCCAGATTAATTAGGAGAATTAATTAGGACATGTTATTCCTTGCCAAAAAAACTAGGACATATTATTATGGTCCCCTTAGGATTGTGACATAAAAAACATAAAGAAATCAGTTCTTCTTCTTCTTCCTCTTCCTCTTCTTCTTCTTCCTCCTCTTTCTCTTCTTCCTCTTCCTCTTCTTCCTCCTCCTCCTCTTCTTCCTCCTCCTCTTCCTCCTCCTCCTCTTCCTCATCATCTTCTTCCTACTCCTCTTCTTCCTCCTCTTCTCCTTCTTCCTCTTCTTCTTCTTCCTCTTCTTCCTCTTCCTCCTCTTCCTCTTCCTCCTCTTCCTCTTCTTCATCTTCTTCTTCTTCTTCTTCTTCCTCTTCTTCTTCTTCTTATTCTTCTTCTTCTTCTTCTTCTTCTTTGTTATTTTTTATTTCTCATTTTAGTCATGTCCGATTCATCCCAAATTTTCTGATATTTTGATTAAGCAGAGGTTCTTGAGCTCATCATCTTATATCTGCAATGCTGGAAAAACCGTGCCCATAGTAAATCAAGGACCGGATAAAAACTTAAAAACAGAGTTCGTATCTAGTGGATAGTTACCTGGCATATTGAAGCTTCTTCTGCGCTCATATATAATACCATCTGACAACAACCTCCACGTAGAGTTCCATATCAGATGCGGTTGAGCCATCGTGTGCATGACTAGTGAATAAATAAACAATCTCCTTAGATGATGACCAAAACCTAGCATGCTCGTCTCAATGATTCCCGCAATGAACTCTTTATCATCGTCTAGCATGTCTAGGGGACGACATGCTTCACGAAAAGTGGCATAGGTAACTCCATTCACAGTTCTAAGACTATTGTAGTCGTTGCACCCTCTTTGCATTGTTAACAAAATCCTCATGTAGTACAGCTCACCACTTCTGGGTGGGATGAAGTTCAATCCTCCGATAGGAGTTCCTTGCTTTCTTGGTTCCATTTTCGTTCCACCTTCAAGTAAACAAACCTAGTGGGAAATTCAGCGTATGTCAAGTCTTTTCCGTCATCGTACTCCTTATTAGCTTCAAACCACGCCAGGGACATTGTTTGCAGGTCCTCATTGTTCCTAACAACTGACTCAACGGGTTCATCATCACTAAATATAATAGTTTGCTCATTCGGTAGATGAAATGTCAGTTTTTGAACCAGTGGCCACTTGTGGTGTATGTCATTCTCATATATTCTCCATGCAGCTTCACATGCACCAACATATCTACAATCGCAATATTGTTTTATCTCATCAATTGGTTCTTCCTTCTCTAGCACATTTGTGTTATGGACAGTGGCTCAATCCGGGCCCTTATTAACGTACTTGAATAAATTGTTTATGGAGTTTGACTTATTATATGCTTTTTTCACTAGATTTTCTTCTACTAATTGCTCCTATATTCCATATTTTCAGCAACTATATGTATCTAATCAGTTGACAAATTTATTGACAAATTTACATATAATCGAGTTAACTAATTATTTATTTGAAATCTGAGACGCCAAAGCCTTACTTATTAGAGTTAATAGTATTCCTGCACGAATACAATACTTTTAGTCTGATTTCCATGTAGATCAATAACCATAGTGCTTGATCCTTGTGTTGATCCAGTTTGATAGCAACTAATATTGTTAGTTTAATATATAGTAGATGTAATAGTGCATAACGTACTAATCTATTATTCATTATAAATATAAATATATAAATCTAATCTCATAAACTACTAACCTCCTCATCCATGAGTAGCAATTCCATTGAAAGAGGACTTCTAGATTTATTGTTGTTGTTATACACAAGCCATAGATGAATTACTTTAACAACAATTGTCCATGTTTTCTTTGCAGGTGTTAATGTTGTTAATAGATCACGAGGAAGAGATACCATAGTTTCTGGACGTAATTTGAAAAAATAGTATTTCAGTGGTGTTGTAGCTCTGAGCCGGCGGAAAAATGGTGTGGTTTATGAAGAATAAAAAGATGGTGTGATAGATTTATATATAGATTGAATTTGTTTCATTCTAGGATAATGTATTTGTTTCATGCTAGGATTCCTTTGAACCTGATTACAAAGAATTTGTTTCATTCCAGGACAACCTAGTTGTTTCCTTTAAGGAATTCAAAAGGTTGTACGTGAGTTTAATGTTGTGTACGTGACTTTAATGTTGTGTAAGCTATTTTAATTATTAAGATAGTATAAGTTGCTTAGAGCATGACACATGTCAACATTTCCCCTAATTGTAACCTTGAATTGTACGTAGTATTAGATATAGATATAGATATGGATATAGATATATATATATATATATATATATATATAGATATAGATATAGATATAGATATATGTATAGGTATAGATATAGGTATAGGTATAGGTATAGGTATAGATATAGATATGGGTATAGATATAGATATAGATATAGATATAGATATAGATATAGATATAGATATAGATATAGATATAGATATAGATATAGATATAGATATGGATATGGATATGGATATAGATATGGATATGGATATAGATATAGATATAGATATAGATATAGATATAGATATAGATATAGATATAGATATAGATATAGATATAGATATGATTCAACATTACTTTTCTACACTTAATCTAATTAATTTAATTAGTTAATTAATATAATTAATTACTTCCTAATTCTCTTGTATAATCAAGGCCAGTCGTTGGTAGAGGACCAATCTGGTGGTGGTGTCACCTCGGTGACAAAAAAACTGGCAATCGACGATGACAATCTTGGAAAAACTTTCTGACCGCCACTGGTCCAAAGACATGGGGGAAGCAGGCTCCAGCCCTATCAGGCTGTTTTTCTTCAATCACAAATAAACAGTCACAATTGTGTCATTTTTTTTGGAACTAGCAGTAGCACTCTGACATTTCAGAAAGATCAGTCGTAATACATATCATTCTCTAATGCACTTGATCATTACAACAAAACCAACAAAATTGAAAAAACTAAATTGTTGCATTAGAACCTCCATGATATAACAAACAAAATAAAACAACATATGATATTCCAAGACTAATTTAAAAAAGGAGAAAACTATCAAATAGGTCCCCCAACTTTCATAAAAAGGTCAATTAAGTCCTTCTATAGGAGGTTTTGTCTGGCCGTCGCGATTTGGGGCAGTTCCCGCTGGAATATTTTGATGAAATTTTTGGAGCATCTTATTAACCAAGTCTAGTTTACTCATACCAAATTTCAGCTAAAAATTCAATCGGGAACATATTCAAATTAATTCTTGAACATAACTGCGCATTTTTGCGTTCTCGAATTAATTTGAATGCGCTCCCGTTTATATTTTTAGCTGAAATTTGGTATGAGTAAACTAGACTTGATAAATAAGATGCTCAAAAAAATTCATCAAAAAATTCCACCGGGAACTGCCCCAAATCGCGACGACCGGACAGAGTCTCCCATAGAAGAACTTAATTGATTTTTTTATGCAAGTTCGAGGACCTATTTGACAGTTTTCCCTTAAAAAAGAGGTGTTCCCTTCCCCTTCTTGTCACCACCAATCTCAAAATTCTTGCACCTCTTGATTGCATGGTGAGAAACATGCTTGCATCCCTGACATTGAAGCCTCAAGACAATCTTCTTCGTGGTCTTGGCCTTTTTGTGAAAGACTAGTTTCGTCTGTCCAATTTTAGGAAAATTGTGTCATTTTGAACTAGTAGTCATATTTTGAACTAGTAGTCATATTTTAGGAAAATGGCGTCATTTTGTCCTATCTCGATAAGTATCCTTGATAGAGTATATCTAGAGAGAGGTGAGAGCTAGAGAGAGAAGTGCAATAATATGCTTCAATAGAATGATTTCGTAACCCCTATAACTACTCCCAAGGGGAGTATTTATAGAGAAAATTAGGGTTGGGCTCCCAAGCCTTGGGCTTGGGAGGCCCATTTACAACTGGACCGCTACTGGGCCGAATACAAAGCCTCTAATGGGCTGTACAAATGAGTAAGTACAGAATCCGATTCTGGGAGGTCTTCGTGGCCGACGAGGGCGCGGCCGACGAGGGCACCCGAGTCCCTTAAACTCAGGACCGTAATCTGAGTTGGCCCCTTTTCGGCCGACGGGGGCGTCTTGGCCGACGAGGGCGCCACTCTGTTGTCTTGTGCTCTGTTCTTCCGAGTATGTGGGTCCTGGGGCTCAGACCCATATACTCCATCAGGAGTCCCCCACTCTCTAAGCTGAGACGTAGACGAAGTGAAGGAGAGTAGATTTCTATGCCTTGTTGCTTTTGGCCGACGCGGGCATTTCCAGGCCGTTAGCCGTTGCGGTATTGGCACTGTTTCCATTTTGGTGATCCTGTTATGTGCTTTGGTCGTTACCTGCTCCTCGCTGTGGGCGGGGAGGCCGTTGTTTCCTTGACCTATTCGTTTGAGGACGATGAGTGTCTTGTTCCGATGTCGGCCGTTGAAGGCGCGCTTTCCCTTTCCTGGACGTTGGTGGTTGAAGTTTATGTTTGGGCCGGTGAGGTTGTTCCTTGCTTTGAGGACGATGGCGTCCTTTCCTTTGGGTGGCCGATGAGGGTGTTCTGTGTGGATGATGTGGCCATGTTTTGTGGTTACCTTGTTTATACTCTTTGTTTCGTTGAGGCCGGTGTAGTCCCCCAGTCCCCCACTGCTTCAGGGCGAGGAGTGCGAGGGGTGAAGGAGTTGCTTGAGTCCCTGGCCGAAGCGGCATCTCCGTAGTCCCCCTGAATCCAACTCTCATGGCGATTTTCTGGCCAAGGTAACCCTGTGGGAGAACCCTTGTGCGCAGATCGCTTGTAGAGAGTTATCATCAAGGGTTATTACGAGGAGCCGAAGGCTGTGGGCTATTTGTCCCCTTTGTTCTGTGGCCGTTACGTTCCTGGCCGTTGCCATCTTCTTATTGTTTGGTATTTGTGATCTTGGCGAGCAAGTGGGACGTT